TACTGAGAAAGTGTAATCCCAAATATAGCTAAGCTACATTTGACCATTTTCTAACTGTCCTGTATTCATTGTTAACCAATCGCTATTCATTTATTGACTAAAAATATGTTTAAAGGCACAATTTCACACATTTTCAAAAATATTTTGAAATATTGGGACATATGCACTCACTTTAGCTTCTTATTGATGCAACATAAGACTTATTACCCCTTACGACTTGCCTGATATCGATAATTGAAACTTATGAGGCGAACAGCTTCCAAACAGAGAACACTTGCCATATATGGAATGTAAACAATTGCTCCGTACATTGAAAATTGTCGCATGTGGTGTTGTCAGTGTTTGCCGAAGTTGTGCGTAGGATTAGTAAAGAGCCCTCCAAGGGACATAACTCTATGGGTTTCACTTGAAATAATGTTCAGCCGGTAGAGGGCACAAAAGTCGATATAATGCAACATTGCATTAATTCATTTAAACATTTTAATTCAATATTTTAATCTAAATACGTAATTTGTTTTGGGAATAAATTATATGGTAGCTTCCCTGAGGGCTGATAGTTAATATTATTGAGAAAAATGCATTATTTATTGTTAGAGAAGTGTGGTGTGAAACAGTGCCTTTAAATAAAGCATCATAGGATAAATGCTGATTATCCCCTCCCCCACCCCACTTAGACTGAAGAATAGCCACTCATTATATAATTCCACGAAAATAGAAGGGCTATTAACCTGGATGGGGTACTTGTGTTTCAGAACCACGAATGAGTGAGTGAGTATGGTTTTAACGGCGCTTTTAGCAATATTCCAGCAATATCACGGCGGGGGACACCAGAAATGGGCTTCATACATTGTACGCATGTGGGGAATCGAACCCGGGTCTTTGGCGTGACGAGCGAACGCTTTAACCACTAGGCTACTCCACCACCCCGAACCAGGAATGAGAAAGTGATAGGATGTAAAGACCCATGAAATCTCTTGTACACATTAGGAACCGCTGAGATCAGTCTTAAATATTTTCTGAAAGTCAACACAGTTAACGCATACTTGGCCACACATCTAAGTAGCTAGACTAATGCTTAGTCTCTGAATATATATAATTTTGATTGTAACAAGTAAACCCATATAAATTGGAAAAGGAGCCCAATGAGAAGGGAAATTCAGAACCTGAGGAAATCTAAACTTGCTTCATTTAGGGTTTTAGCATTGCATGGAGGGCTAGGTGGAAGGGAAAATAATGATCAGGTTCAGGCACTGCGAGACAGACTACTACAAGTAGCTAGCCTGCTGAATGCTTAATGTGTTCGTCCATGCTTGAGCTCTGCTCCTATCACTGTTAAATGTTCACAAACTTGTACAGACCTCACAGCCGGAATGGTTTTTTCACCTGTATTTTCAGGACTGTTTTTGTTATATGACTGCTTGACATAGACGGACAAACGTCACTCAGGTTGAACTTGGCAAAATACATTATCATTAGAATTTGATGAAACAATCTCTTTTGCAGGGTTTCATCAATTTATGGGATAACTTCATATAAGGTAAAAAATCAACAGAAATATAAAAAAAGTCAACAGAAATAATAAAATTCCTGATTTTTTTTATCAGTCAGTGAAGATAAAGTGGATCCACGCATATATCACATGACTGTTTTAAATGTCAAGGTCACTTTGAAGGTCCTTCACCGGTGAAACAACCCGAAATAGTTTTATTCAGATGTGGAGGAGACTTCACATTTGTAACTCAAGTTACGCTCTCTCATTGGATAACATTGAAGTGAAATGGTCAATAAGAGTGAATAACGCATCCCGGTAAACTTTAGAAGTTGCTGCTTTTAAACAGGTGATAACTGTTATATGACAGAGGGTCTCGGGCATACAGCGCCCACTGTAGTATCGTATTACGTCTCATTAGTCTCTTTGTCAAGTTGAGACAATAATTCATCGGCGTTTGTGAATCTGATCTCACGTGTTCAAAGCAGCGTCTCACATTGGAAAATCCTCCCGAGGCGGAAGGCTGCAGCTTTTTCATAGACGAGGCAATAACTTTTCCCCTTGTGTCGTTGAATCGCTGACAAGGCGTTTTGACGTCATTTTGTCATAGTTGCCTCATGTCTGCCAGCACAGCAGTTCTAGAGTTATAGAAACACTTTTCTGTTTACGGTTCTTCTTCGACATGTTTCGGGCATTTTTGGAAACGTTCTGATCCACAATAACATCAAAATCAAATTCGTCGCCATCGAAACCCGTCCTTGTTGATAACGGATCCTGAATTCAAATCTAACTTTGCAGCTAAAGCATACTGCACAAAATCATTTGAAGACCTATCATGTCATACAAAAGAACCCCGTATATTTTATTGAATGTACTCTCTGTGGATTGACCTGTGTTGGAGAGACACAACAGAAACAATAGACATGAGGCAACCAGCATAGATCCGGTTCAGTGGAAATATTTCCAATTGCGTCTACCAACATTTTAATTCTGAAAGTCACGCCATCCTGTGTATAAAAATTAGGATATTAGAAAAATATATCCCCATTCTAATAGCTTTAATAGTCGACCTTACATAATGTCAAGAGAAAATCATTGCATTCGACTCTTATGATACAATGTCATATGGATGTAATGACAAAATAAAAAACGTTGGCAGTCTTTCCAACAGAAGAACTGTACCAATGTCAATGTATTGAGTCTGTTTCCAGCTTCTCGAAGGCGTCACGCAGTCATGGTCACAAGAACGGACAAATGCTAATGGTACCATTCACTTGGAAGAGTTGCTGCCTCTGCTGCAGGAACCACTAGGACTGCACAAAGTGAGAACAAGACTATACTCTCGATCTCGGTCATTGAAAGAAATGAAATTATCCTCTAAATACAAGCAGCCAACTGTGTTCGTTTTATTTGTTCTCATATCTTTGTGGCAGCTGTTATATCGATGGAATAGAAGCGACAGAAACCTTTTTTCACATCCATAACAATTCTACAACTTTAGCTGATGGCTGGGTCTACGGACAGCGAAAGCCCACAGTATGAGCTAGAGAGTATAGTTTGCCTCAAAACGTTTGGTGAAACGGAAATAAAAACAGCTGAATCAGACAAAGGCCGCATGTTCCTGAATCTGAAATTTGCAAAAAGGCTATCTGCGACCCAGCCCAACTCCAACATGAGATCGACCACTCAAAACAACCTTCATCACCCTCAACGGATATCCCAAACAACTTGTAGAGCAGACCGTAGCCACAATCCTCCATCAACAAAATGACCGTCCACCCAAACCCGAACCAGCTCCCATCCGGATCAACATTCCCTACAAAGGCCAGATTAGTCATCACATCAGCCGACTTCTTAGAAAAACTGCTAGTGTTGATGTGACATTTTATTCTGATAAAACTTTAAAATCAATCCTGAGAGCGAATGGAAGAGGTGGCAGCAGCCAGACCGAACCCAATCCCAGAGGATGCATCTACAAAATTTGTTGTGATTGTGGAAGCAGTTATATTGGAGAAACGTGCCGGCCGTTCAACATAAGGCTAAAAGAACATAAAACTTCAGTTGAAAAATCTGCCCTCTCAGAACACATCGTCAAAAATCCAAATCACTCTATAAACTGGCAACACACTGAAATCCTGGCTTCCAACATCAGTAATTGGCGCCAAAGAAAACTTCTTGAATCAGTCAACATAAGAAGATTAGTACCCGAGATCAACAGGGATCAAGGGGTTTACCTCCCTAGCGCCTGGTGCATCACCAAGAAATCATAGACTCTCAAACCACTCTGCTGTGTAAACATACTGTTGTTCTCATTGTAAAAACATACCCTATCATTGTATTCTTCTCTTTCATCTCACTGCATTGTTTGTACATACTTCCTGTACATCTATATATATATACAATGTATATATATATATATATACTGTATTGTTCACTATGATCATTATCCACCTGACGAAGGGGCAAGAACTAGCCCAGAAACGTTGTGTAAATAATGAATCAAGAAGTTGTTATCCATAAGATTTGTCTTGTAAGAGCAGTCGATTGTACAATTCTGCCTATATCATGAGCATATATTTGTTTCCGCTGTATTACAGCTGTATGATGTTGTTTGTAAACAAAGTCTGGACCAGACAATCCAGTGATTGCCACCATGCGATACGAAGTGAGTGAGTGAGTGAGTTTATGAATAACTATGAAATAGTGATGATACCAGGTGTTCGCGAGAAGGTGAGCGTATCCTGCCCCACGGGTGGCACCCGTCATAAACATATACACAGTCTAGACGGGTGGCACCCGTCACAAACATATACACAGTCTAGACGGGTGGCACCCGTCACAAACATATACACAGTCTAGACGGGTGGCACCCGTCACAAACATATACAAAGTCTAGTCAAATGTTCACCGGAAATAAATCGGGAACGTATGGTACAAGTCAAAATAGGGAATTTAAGAACAAATATGTATTTTTATAGTCAAGACTACGATATTAAAACAGTACTTTAGGGTTAAGAATAATCAATTAACAGTAAAATCCTAAACTCATATAACACAAGTGAATTCCTGGTGAATATCACCACAACATATATACCCAATGTACTTCAAATTTTATATTTGATTAGGCTTTACTAGGCATAGCCAGCTCCTTACGTTAAAATATGTTTTATGTAATCATAGTTATGACATTGTGTATAAGTGTCCATGCCCCCAGTATCATTCTTTTAGTTGCTGCGTTTTTTCATTTAACTATATATGTTATGTATCCAGCTTATGTAAATTGTGTGTGTGTGTGTGTGTGTGTGTGTGTGTGGGGGCCGTAGACATAAGCCTTAAACAAAACCAATCAAACTTAAAGGTAAATGGACATTGAAGGTATGACAACGTCCACGGTGTTCTGCAGTGTGGCGGAGGTCGATGTATAGTAAGGTTTATGTACCGTGTGATGTCGGGGGCTACGTGTGTTGTGACGTTCAATGTCTGTATTGTAATAGCTCTCCCAGCTGTAAGATCACGCGTGGTGGCGAAAGATGATGTATGAAACTTGCCACCACAGACTCGGTTTAATGACACAGCATAAAGTCGCCCAAGACCTGACGGATATTTTGACTGAGTTAATCCTGTGGTATTTCGCTGAAGACAAGCAAGTAAGTAGGACTCATAGACAGGCATGTTGTAGCCTAGTGGTTCTTGGCAGATCAAGTGTCTTGTCCAACTATGATTGTTGCATGCTGTTGACACGGTCGTCTGTCAGTGGCTATATAGTGTTCGCTAGTTACGCCGCTTACCCGGGTTCGATTCCTCCCATGGGTGCAGTGTGTGAAGCCAATTTCAGGAACAAAACAATTCTTCTCATTTCGGGTGTTCCTAGTCGTAATATAGTTTGAATAGTGAGTGAAAGCGGCGTAAAACCACATTCAGTCACTCAAAAACAAAAACAAACGCCTTCACAAATCAAAGTGAGCTCGTCATTTCCCCTATAAAGATCCGGATATGCATGCATGGAGATGAATGTTGTACAGAACGGGACACGTGGAATGTGTGACATGAATACTTCACTATATAGCCAGATCTGATTTTGTGTGGTCCTAATTACACCACAAACATTTAATGGCTTCAGAAGCCATTTGTGTAAAATATTAATTTGACCACTGTCTTTTCTGAAATTTGGAGTTAACTGTGTGAAAGTGATGACGATAGCGGGATTAGGAATGTATGTGGCTGGACAGTATGATTGGGTTACAGGTTTATTCACAGTTGGGTGACATGAGAGTGGATGTATACTGGCCATGTTTTTGCTTTTGAAGATCAGTTATATTTGATCTAACTGGAGAAATGTCCATTTACCAGGCACCATAATATGATATACTACTCAAAGACTGACTGACTGACTGAGTTTGGTTTTACGCCGCTTTTAGCAATATTCTAGCAACATCACGGCGTGGGACACCAGAAATGGGCTTCACTCATTGTACCCATGTGGGGAATCGAACCCGGGTCTTCGGCGTGACGAGCCAACGCTTTAACCACTAGACTACCCCACCGCCCCTACTACTCAAAGAAGTTAAAGATTACTCATATTATCTATATATGCCAAACAATGTTATATTTGTATAGGACTCATATTGGCTGTGCCCCAGTTGCAAGCTGATGTGAATACGTTGTCATGTCAAAGTTGTTGGTAACATTCTTTTAATTAATGGAAGTCGTGTCCCAAGCATGAAGTTGATTTGAATACGAGTATATTTGCCGTTGTTATTTCTGCAGCTGCTATTCCTTGATACATTCATTGCTTGAAAATAGCGATTCCACGACCCTTGCTTTCATTTTAAAGATCGTAAAGTACGAGAAATAGTCGTTATGCCTTGTTTCAATCTGAGTGTAGGGCGCAAACGGATCGACATGTAATGCTGTTCGCTTAACGGCTGCGACGCGATTACCCGAAAGGTCTGTAGAAAAGTACTAACGTGCACCTGCAGACGATGACCTGACCGATGTTTCGTTAGATCTGTCTTACTGTTTTCACGTGTCTTAGGTCTGTCGAGTTCTACCAAAGTCGCCGTAGTTCCTTGTTTCTACACAGAAATATGCCGATACGAGTGGCCGTGATCGGCGCGGGTGCAGGTGGGCTGTGCGCCATGCGGCACCTGTTGGCCAGGCCGGACGTTTTTGAGGGGGTCTGTTTTGAACAGTGTCCGCTAGTTGGAGGTACATGGGGGTGTACACAGACAGAGTTGGAACTGATGAATACGGACTTCCGGTACACTCCAGCATGTACAAAAACCTCAGGTGTGTGCAGAAGATTTAGAGAAACATTCTGATAGTGATATATATGTAATATATCAATTTTAAGAATTAAAAAAAATACAAAAGTGAATGAAATAAAACCTGCATTTATAATATCGAAATTTATCAACATTTATCTGAACAGAGACCATATATCGGTATATGGTCTCTGATCTGAACAACTTCAATTGTGTTGTATTTATGTGCTCATTCTATGAAGCATGTGAGTTGTACTAATATACCACTAAGCACATGCATCATCCATTGTACTGGTATTTGGACATTTATATATATAATGCTGTAGCATTCCACTGAGTGGGGATATGGGTAAGAATAATTTAAGTGCCCAGGAACCTTTCCTGCTTTTCAGAGGCGACTTAGAATTTCTAATGCTTGATAAATGTCAGGATCAGTGACTTTGTTAAGTGTATGTCATCGTACTCCCTTGATATGGATCATTGATATTGATATTAATCACTGACTTGTCTTGTCCCGTTTGTCTTTTAGAGGCTATCACCATGAGTTGTGGCAATAAACCACAAACAAATTAACAAACCAGATATATTTCAAACATTGCACATCTGTCCGACAAAGAGAGTACAATGGAAAACTACTGATATTTTTTATTATATAGTGTCAATAAATATCAGGTTTCAGATTTGCATCAAGTACACCTATACAAACCTGAAAACAAATGTATGCATATATACTGAGAGAAACAAATAAAGGATCACAGGAAAATTCAAGCGTTCCTGTATTTTTTTCCAGTTTTCATCACCACAGCGCTATTCAAAGCTGGTGATTAAAACTTGAAAATATTAAAGGGACGCTTGCATTTTCCTGTGATCCTTTATCTGTTTCTCTCAGTATATAATCTCTTAATTGTGTTCCCAGGGTGTTGTACAAAGCAACCATAATGCTAGGTGACTGTAGCTCCCACTCCTAAGCATAGACTTACGACAGTCTTAGCACTAAGGTTGTTTTGTACAACGGCACCCTGATCTTCAACAAATCCCTTTTCCACCAACCTTCACACTGCTGTCTTGGCAAGTTATGAAGGTGAAGGTTACTACTTGTACTAAATTTAATGTTGTGAAATGTTCTTGTTTCAGGACAAATCTGCCAAAAGAAGTTATGGCATTTCCTGACTTTCCTTTCAAGGATAGTTTACCATCTTTCATATGGCATCATGATGTCCTGCAGTATTTACAAGACTACAGCAACCACTTCAATGTCACTGACAAAGTCAAGGTACAGTTATCCGAAACAACACATCAGGCTTAGGTTTACTATTATTACTATTAATATTCGGTCAGTAGGGAAGCCTAGTGGTTAACACGATCGCTCATCATGCAGAGGACCCGGCTTCGATTCCCCATATGGGTACAATGTGTGAAGCCCATATCTGGTGTCCCCCACCATAATATTGCTGGAATATTGCTAAAAGCGGCATAAAACTAAACTCACTACTATTTCTCCACTTGTCAAAAAATAAAATTTCAGTTTTACTTCTGATATCAGTTACCTTTTTTAATATTTTAATTATTTTAATTTAAAGTGAAAATATTAAAGAAATATATGTTGTGTAAGTTTATTATGCTAGAATTGTTTTTTTTCCTTAACCTAATGCACACTCCACTACATATTCAAGACGGGTGTACAGATTGACATGAGTAACTTGATGCAAATTCTGAAAATATACCCACCATTTCCTGGTACTGTATGGCCTGTGGTCCTTACTTCTGAAGACCCGGGATATAAGTCTTCAGCAACCCTTGCTTGTCGAAAGAGGCGACTAACAGGATCAGGCGGTCAGGCTTGCTGACTTGGTTGACACGTGTCATCATATCACAATTGTGTACATTGATGTTCATGCTAATGATGGATTGTCTGGTAAAGGACTCAATTACTTACAGACCGCTGCCATATAGCTGTAATATTGCCGAGTGTGGGGTTAAACAACAAACTTCTGAAAATGTAGCGATGTAATGATAAATCAGTACATTTGTTAACTGTAGTACATCAGACAGTAAATTTCAGTACAGTTTTAAAAAACGGACCATTATTTTCCTCCACACATATTTGCATCAATCTAAAGCATTTTTAGGTTTGGAAATTCCTCACTGTTCTCTCATTCTCATGTAAATGTTTATCACCAGAGTCACAAAACATTGTTCTGTGACAGAGTTCTGGTTCCTGCTGATGACAACAGATGTTTTTGTTATGACATTGAGCTGATTGTGCGAGGAAGTGACAAAGAGTGTACATATTTACCTGCTGTCTGAAACCCATTAACAAGGATTTGGTACAGACAAACCATGGATCAAAATTCGGATTTGAACCAGCAATCATCAACAGCAACTCAATATCTGATGACTGAGCCACTCATGCCCCTTAACATTATGAAATCACCAACATACAACCATGATGAACAGTGAACGAGGGAAAAACAAAGCACCTTTGAGCAGCTGAGCTGAGCTGGATATCGGCGCTATACAAATGTTAGTATGTATGTATTTATGTGTATGATGAACAGTGAACACAGAAACAACCAAGCTGATTTAAGTCCTGAAGATAGTAGACGTGTTGAGCTTAATTGCTTTGTTTATGAAGCAAAATAAATATTCCAACACTGACATTTTTCCTTTCCATTTGCAGTTTCAGACCAGAGTAGACTGTGTACGTCCTCTGAAGAGTAACAACTCAGAACCACAATGGGAAGTGCAGTTTTGCAGTGTTCTCAATCAAACAAAGAAACAGACGGAATTGTTTGATGCAGTCATTGTGTGCATTGGGTAAGTATACCATGTGGTACTTGATGGAATGTCGTCTAGATCCATGACTGGGCGGCCATTAGGTAAAACATCCAAAAGTTGAAGTAAAGAACAAAAGTAGGCAATAATGGCCAAATGTTGGGAACAAGGTATTTGGTAGATACTGATTAAAATTAGAATGTTGTACAAATTGCAGCACGCTCTGCCTTCTCTGTTGTCAATGTTGTCCTTTAACATTGAACAATTGGTATCATTTGTATGCACTGATGGTCTTAAGTCCTCATTGTTCTTTCTTTCATATTGAGGGCAGTGGGGTAGTCTAAAGGTTAGAGTGTCCGCTCATCAAGCTGAAGACCGGGGTTTGATTGCAATGTGTGAAGCCCATTTCTGGTGTCCCCTGCCGTGATAATGCTGGAATATTGCTAAAAGCAGCATAAAACCCTACTCACTCACTCACCCACTTACTTCCATTTTGTCTGTCTGTCTTTTGTATCATTACCTTTTATTACTAACAATTCATTGTTTATGTGTAAAATGTGACTATTATTGAGTACTTTTGACACTTACTTCAGCTATTGAACTTTTGGATTGAATGGCCGCCCATACATTTGATAGAGCTAAATAAGGAATCTGTACATCGGAATGAGTTGCTAACAGCTGGAGTGTAAAGGACGTGATTTGATTGTTGGTTCTGTATGATGCTGTTAAGTGGTATATAAGTTAGTTTTTTTAGAGGGACAGTGGTAGCAAGCAGTGCGATAGAGCCATACTTGGTTAGCATTTAAACAAAAGGTATGGAGCATGTTGTATGTGTCGTATCACAAGTCGTAAATGTGTTGATATATTTATTCGGGTTTTTGTTACAGTATACCAATCTGTGTAGGGTTAAGATGGCTGACTGTTTTCAAACTCACACAGTTGGTCTCGCTTGAGGTTTATGCACGTGAAAGGGCATGCTCCTGTATTGTTTGTAGTGAGTGAGTGAGGTAGTAAGGCTGTACGAAGCATTTCACAAACATTCCTTTCATATTACGACAATGGGACACCAAAAGGACTTCACACCTCGGGGGAATTGAACCAGGTACCTGAACATCTGTATACTGAATGAACCCATGAACATTCTGGTCCCTTTAATAGTTGACAGGACAATTACTAAATAAAATTGAAATATAGTAAAACTTATTACTTGTGTATCCCAAAGATGTACCTTTGCTGCTCATTCATTTGTATTTAAGGCGCAGTCAAATGTCGCAGTTTGCATGAAATAATGTTCAGCATGACCCTTTAAAATTCTCTGTCTTGTCTAGACTTGTCTGAATGTACTTGTAGCCCGTGTGGTTGATTTATGATGTTTTACTGGATAAACCTCCAGCTGTGTTTACATCAACGGCAGTTTCTGCTTGGCTGAGTGAGTGAGTATGGTTTTACGCAGCTTTTAGCAGTACTCCAGCAGTATCACAGTGGAGGATACCAGAAATGGGCTCCACACATTGTACCCATGTGGACAATCGGACTTGGGGTCTTCAGTGTGACGAGCAGGCGCTTTAACCACTAGGCTACTCCGACACCCCTTCTGCTAAGCTGAAAAGTTGAGATGTACCATTTCCGTCACTGGATCCTTTTCCATTGAATTGGGCAGAAAACAGAAATGTAACTGATTTAGTATCCTAAGAATGCAAACGGTCAGGCAATGAATATTTACTAGGAACAGTATTTGCCCCTTACTACTTTTCATATGTTAGGTACCTTCAGTTGTTGGCAATTTAAAGCCCATTTTTATATTGAGTTGTTCTGTAGAAATATTGTTTTACGACTACATACTAGTTTGAAGTTTACGTCTGTGATAATCTAGATATTTACTGTCCCTCGTTGACAGATATTTATATTGTCTAAGTTTATTTTTAAAAAACAGCGCTCATAGTCTTGATATGGCTGAAATACTGCTGATGTGACTTTAAGTTCAACTCTATCACTCACTCACTCACTTATGTGTTAGGGGTGGTGGAGGCGGGGAGCAATTTACAGTGCAGAGTCTCTTGTGACAGAAACCTATGATGTTGAGTTTGAATCCCAGAATCGCTTTCTAGGTTTGTCTGCACCTTATCTGTTTTCAGCTGTTTCAAGAAAGTCGAAAACACCTTAGGCTTGTGTCATTTCAGGCTTTCATCACACTCAAATTGTCATGTCATTATGTAACTGGTGTTAATATTTTCTTTCCCCCAAAATCTTTGTGCCACACTAATTCTTTCTTGTTTTATGGATTGTATTGGCGAGGAAATAACCTCAAGGTTGGTTTGGGTAACATGGAAAAAAATCAAAGTGGCAAGTATGCAGACCAAAAAAACAATTTAATGAAAAGTTGCAGAGTGTGTAAATTTGAAATGTAGTGAAATTCATGATTAATATACACCAGGCATGCTTCCATCCCCTTGGTGCCAGACATTCCGGGTCTGGACAAGTTCAAGGGTCGTGTGTTCCACAGCCACGACTATCGGGAGCCTGATTCCTTCAAGCAGCAGCGTGTGGTTTGTCTTGGTGCTCGGTCGTCTGGCATGGACATTATGCTGGAGCTCAGCGCCGTGGCTCAGACAGTAAGTTCAACTCTGCATCTTATGTAAGAACTCTATTCAGGGAGTGAAAAGACACCTTTAAATTTGTATGTTTTTATAAAGTTAATTCATTATTAGAGAAAAAAGAGAACTGCTGGCCTGCAGGATGAGTTAAAATAGATTGTTCATCTCAACAGCTGTTTGTAAAAGTATGTGTTGGAAGGTTTTGGTATTGTAGGAAAGTGGGTTTTTCTTTTAAGAAGTGTAAGTTTACATCCTATCAGGTATTAGGTTCGTAATGTAAATTTAGTGGGAAGTTTGACGTGTCAATTACCAGAAATAAGTGATTTCTGAAAGAGGTTTCTTGTAGTTTATAAAATTCCACTTGTTACCTTTTCGTTTTGGCAGTAAAATTCCGTTGGAATTATCCTTTCTCGGTCGGTTGACAGTCGCAACATGCGCTGCCATGCCGTGCACAGTTTGCCGTAGCCAGGTGTGTTTTCTGTTGCGCATTAAGAGTGCGGTATGGTAGAGCTGCCGTGATTGGTTGGCTGACTCCATTGCGGGCCAATGGGTGATAAGGTAGCTACTTGACCAGGGTATATAAGGGCCTGTAACACTCTCAGTCGCTTGCTTCAAGATATCCTGAACCTACAGTAAATCGGGAGGTTTTTCTCCTTTCCTTAGTTTTTGTATGGTAGGATAGGAGAATGATTAGCGGGTTGGGGGAAATGATAGGATTAGAGTAGGCTTTATTTTGTAGGAATTAATTAGTTAGGACTTTCTTTTGGGGTTAAACAGATTACTAGGTGTGAGTGTGTGTGAGGAAGGCTTGTATTTATTCTGTTAAGTTTGACTCAGTTATTTGTATTAATTAATAAATTGTTTTTATTTGGTGAATTTGAATTGTGTTATTATTCTGTGAGAATCTCTAGCAATGACATTAACCACCATAGGACCTGAAATATGGTTTATGAAAGGTTCCGGTCTCTTAACACAAAATTAACATCCATTAAAAATACACAACGCAAAGTCTACAACTGAGACCGCTTAACAATATCGAACCTTGACACTCGCATGAACCTTACTGTCACTGGGCAACCTACCTCAGCGGAGGCGCCTATTACAGTATCATGGCCACCGACTACTTGACAGGTGCTTGTCCCTTGACGAATTGAAGCCAGCATATTAATTCATTGACAACCATCAGCATATTGTTACTTATGGAATCATTCACAGGGAAGTTTTTCATATAAACATGAAAACATAGTGTGTTTTGTTTTCCAACTTTCTGGTGTTGTGTAGGAATGTAACTACAGCATCTACATTCTCATGAAACGGCAATTGTTTGGACAACAGTCAAACGGTCGATTTCAAAAAGAATAATTTTTATATGAGGATGCATGACTAGAAGTGGTTGTTAACAAGTTTAGTGGACGTAACTTTTGACCTTTAATAGTTTTCATGATGATATTACCAACTTCCTCTTCATGATGACATTACCAACTTCCTCTTCATGATGACATTACCAACTTCCTCTTCATGATGACATGACATTACCAACTTCCTCTTCATGATGACATTACCAACTTCCTCTTCATGATGACATTACCAACTTCCTCTTCATGATGACATTACCAACTTCCTCTTCATGATGACATTGCTAACTTCCTCTTCATGATGACATTACCAACTTCCTCTTCATGATGACATTGCTAACTTCCTCTTCATGATGACATTACCAACTTCCTCTTCATGATGACATTACCAACTTCCTCTTCATGATGACATTACCAACTTCCTCTTCATGATGACATTACCAACTTCCTCTTCATGATGTAAAATTCCCAATGAATTTTTTGTGGAAAGTTGGTTGTTGTTGTTATCGTTTAACGCTGCACTCAGCAATATTCCAGCTCATTAGTCTCGTCTTATGACAAGCATGAGTTGCTGAAGACCAATTGTAACCTGGAGCTTCATGGTTTTTTGGTGGAAAGTAGTGTTTATGACAGTGAGGAATCTTTCCTTCTGTAGGACTATTAATAAATAAATGGTTTATATACTGAGTCAGTTAAATATTTTCAGTAATGACATTCTGCACAAAATGATAGCAGTGAACTTTCTGACTTGTCATTCCCAAATAATTTACTATAGTTTTATATATATTTGAAGGTACCTTTTAGAAAATGAATTTTACAGTTACAAATTTATATATTTATACATCTATTATGATAACTAAGACATTGAATTGGGAAGAATCCACAATGTAAATCATTAGAAATGAGAGTGGACATGTTTAATGCAACTCTTCTGTTTCAGGTGTTCATCAGTCACAACAAGGCCCCCCTTACATCCAAATTACCCCCCAACGTAGAACAGAAGCCAGGGATAGCCCCGGCTACGGGAAGATTCAGTTATCTTCTCCAACGAGGGATGAACAAAAGATTGACACTGTTGTTTTCTGCACTGGATACAAATACACTTACCCATTTCTGTCTGAATCTTGCAATCTCAAGATAGAAAATGAAAGAGTTACCCCCCTTTACAAGCATATACTCCATACAGAATTCCCAACACTGTCTTTTATAGGAATGTGCAAAGTTGTCTGCCCTTCCTCAGTTCCATTTGCAAATTCTTGTCGTTCTATCAGCATTGGATGGATCCTTGAAGTTGCCGTCGCGGAATGACATGGACTTAGACATAGAGAAGGACTATCAACATCGCCTCCCTCAAGGACTGCTCCCTCGGTATGCACACCACATGGGCCCGAGGCAGTGGGCGTACAATGATGAACTCGCTGATATGGTCCAGTGTCCAAGGTTAGATCAGCAAGTGATGGACCTTTATAACACAGTACATGAGTGGAGGGCAAGAGATGCAGCCACATACAAGACAATGAACATTACACTAGAGAAAGCCTGATTTTACCAGAGCTGTGAATAAGTGAACGGTTTTAAATGATATAGCATTTCAAATCCAGGGAATGACTGTGATCATTTTAAATGCATATTTTATCAACTCTGCTGCTGTAAAAATGGTTAATGATATTCGGGTATGCATGTACATACATAGAATATGTACTCTAGTCTTTTTACGTGATCAAATGATGTATCTGACTGATATAAAATATTATTATTGTTATTGAGTTTCCGTTTGCATCGTGATTGAGCTTTCTTCACCCTCTGTGGGAACAGCCCAGCTAACACACAACGTTGTGGGAAGGTTGTAGATTGGTAACGTCATGACACAACCTTACATTAGTATTATAACACAAGTTACTGGTATTTAGATTTTGTATTGAAAATATTATATACATTTTATAATTATAATTTGAAAAAGTGCAAAATTTGACAGTTAAGTTCAGTCACAAGGGTGAATGTGACAATGTAAATGGGAGGGAAATGAACTTGTCAGCTGACCAAGCTTAACTGAACTGTTATTGATTTTACATTTTTCTTGGGGAATAAATAAATTTACCCTCGATTGACATGAAATGAGGGTGAAACGCTCAAACTGGTGTTCCTACACAAATTGGGTGGATGGACATTTGGGATACAGATGGTCAGTTTGGTCAGTTTGTCAATAAAGGGCATGCATAGGATCTGAAATGATTTTGATTAAGTATCTAGTAGCGCCTACCAGTCTGAAATATTAGTTAGTTATGCCAACGTTGGGTTGATGTATGGCTTAAGGATAACTAGAAATGTCATTTTATCACTGGAAGAAATTGATGGTACCAAATAAAGTCTCCGAAAGGGACTAATGAAAATAACTAATTATCAAGATTGGATATGAGTCATTTTGGGGAGGAGCCCAGAAATTGTGAAGAAAACTAAAAACTAGTGACTGAGAGAGAGCGGGGGAGACTGAGCCCTGCCGTTGACTTGAGAGGTTCTCTGCATATTGAGAGAAATAGGCTCAGATGAAATTGTAACTTTAGAAATTGGGAAAAGAAACCAACAAGTTCTTCCAGGAGATGTGTGAATCTGTGTTACATGTAAACCAGGACATCTAGGAAATATTTGAGGACCTTTGTGAAAGAATTCAGGTTAAAATAAACCGGACTTGAACACCATACTGGACTTATCCTTGATTATCCATCTAGCTACATCATCCCCAGAACCAGAGTGGCTAGACAGATTGCCTAGGGAATAAGGGTATAACACCCCGAAAACCTAAGGTAATAGTAGGTTCACTAGCAGAACAGCTTGATGACAATATGGATGCTGTCAGTCATATTCTTCATCTGTCTCTGTAGTGAGTTTGTGGTTTTACGCCGCTTTTAGCAATATTCCAGCAATATCACAGCTGGGGACACCAGAAATGGGCTTCACACTTTGTACCCTTGTGGGCAATCGAACCTAGGTCTTCGGCATGATAAGCGATCATTTTAACCACTAGGCTACCCAACCACACCTCATCTATATCTGTGAATTAAAGTCAGACAAACAAAGAACTGATAACCTGAGGCACACATCAGCACTGGGGCAGTGGGGTAGCCTGAGTGGTTAAAGCGTTGGCTTATCGCCGAAGAACCGAGGTTTGATTCCCCACATGGTAGCCTTGCTCCAAGGTTGTACTGAATGCTAAGCCCATTGGTGTATAGTAATTCTATCCTTTAAAGAGGCAAGTCTAGATCAGTGGACAGTACCAGTCCGTTAGAGGAATATTTATGTTTTATAGAAATTATCATTTAGACTATTTCTTATTACCTTAGAGACTTATGCAAGTCTACCCACATGAGTATAATGTGTGAAGCCCTTTTCTGGTGTCCGTGATATTTGCTGGAATATTGCTAAAAGCTAAATGAAAACCATGCTCACTACCCACTCACATATCAGCACTATCAGAGACCTACTAGCAAAGTTACTTCCTGATTGTCATTGAGTGAGTATAGTGTTGTGTCTTTAGCAATATTCCAGCAAAATCACAGCTAGGGGACACCAGACTGACTGAGTTTAGTCTTCGCCCGCTTTTAGCAATATTCCAGCAATATCCGCAGTGGGGACACCAGAAATGGGCTTCACACATTGTGCCCATGTGGGGAATTTAACCCGGTTCAACCTAATCGCCAGCACACAAAGTCAGCCACCTAACCCGCTCAGCTACGCGACTTCCACAAAACGAAAGTCGGACAACTGGTAGTCTAGACTCGCGGGCTTTATTGTACCCTCTGATCGTTAATTGTTAATTGGCACAGCCCCCGGCCGAAAGCTATGATTACACAATGCCATTTAGAAAGTGGTCCTATGTAATATTTGGGATTACACTTTTCTTAGTAAAGTACAAATTCTAGTACTTTTTGAGTTGAGCCCCATCCGATTGAACTCTCACCCTCAGAGTCAGGCACCTAATTGCCAGCACACAAAGTCAGCCACCTAACCCGGCTCAGCTACACGCACCATTGTGTAATCATAGCTTTTTGGCGAAGGGAGCCCGTGCCTATTAACACTTATCAGAGGGTATTCAAAGCCCAAAGAAAATGAAAAGAAGTGTTGAGTTTCCATGGACAAGAGACAGGTGAACTGTTCATTTATTGTCTGTATCGATTTAATTTTTTTTATTTAAATACCATCATCAAAACCTGTTGCAAGAGTATTAGAACACAACAAATTATTTTCTTCTTTGAGTGGCATTTTAGAAGCTGGGAAGTACAATATTGAACAAGTTTATGGAAAACAACTTCTTTTATTTCCTGCTTGACAACAGTACAAGAATCTGTATCGAAATATTGCACTCACGAAATAAAAAGTTGTAATCCATACAGTTTGTTCAATATTGTACAACAAATTATGACAAAACATGAGGAAAAGAATAAAATATTTTGAAATATAAAAATAAAAATTAAATTACCACACCTGTTGAAAGTGTATTATAACACAATGACAAATCTTGAGAGGAAATGAAAAGGTTATTTGAAAAATAAAAAGATGCCCTTACCAACATGAATTTTGGGAAAAAATCTTGAAAAATGTTTTCTTATGTTTTGAATCACATATGAATCTCTGTCTTCACTGTTCTGTTAGTGGTTTGTGAAGGCGGTGGGGTAGATTAGTGGTTAAAAGCGTTCACTCGTCACACCGAAGACCCAGGTTAGTTTCCCTACATGGGTACAATGTGTGCAGCCCATTTCTGGTGTCCACCGCCATGATATTGCTGGAATATTGCTAAAAGAGGCATAAAACTAAACTCACACTCACTCACTGTTCTGTTAGTGGTTTGTGAAGGCGGTGGGGTAGATTAGTGGTTAAAAGCGTTCACTCGTCACACTGAAGACCCAGGTTCAATTCCCTACATGGGTATAATGTCTGCAGCCCATTTCTGGTGTTCCCCTGCCATGATATTGCTGGACTAAAGGGGTGTAAAACTAAGTCATTGGAATGACATAATTACCACTTGCATGTTATTTATCAATTTGAAAGTTATATCAATCAAAACATAGCTTGTTCCCTCACTCATTGCAGAGCTACTGAATGCGGATGAATATGGCTGTTTATCCTAATCATTACCCTTTGCAATAACTGTATTTGTTGAGAGTTTTCTGTAATTAAAATGGGGCAGTGGGGTAGCCTAGTGGTTAAGGCAGTAAAATTTCGTCACACCGATGACCCTGGTTGATTCCCCTACCTGGGTACAATGTGTGAAACCTGTTTATGGTGTCCCTTGTCATTGATATTGCTAGAATATAGCTAAAAGCCGGCGTAAAAACTAAACTCCCTCACTCACTGTAATTAAATGTCACAATATAATTTACAGTTGCAGTCGTGGGTAAGCATAGTACTAGTAGACAGCACCAATCAGGCAAGGTTAAGCATATCAGTTTAAAGTTCATCTGCTGTAACAAATAGTCCAGGTTTTCCTCCTTTGGTGTAAGAGATGACATCAGTGAGAATCAGGGCCTGAGGGCGTCTCGTGGTTAACACATTCGTCTGTCATGCAGAAATCCAGCTTCGACACCCCACATGTGTGAAGCCTATCTCTGGTGTCCTCGGGGCGGTGGGGTAACCTAGTGGTTAAAGCGTTGGCTCGTCACGCTGAAGACCCGGGTTCAATTCCCCACATGGGCACAATGTGTGAAGCCCATTTCTGGTGTCCCCCGCCGTGATATTGCTGGAATATTGCTAAAAGCGGCGTAATACTAAACTCAGTCAGTCTGGTGTCCCCAGCTGTGATATTGCTGGAATATTGCTAAAAGTGACACAACACTATACTCACTCAATGAGAATCAGGAAGTAACTGTGCTTGTAGGTCTCTGATGCTGATATGTGAGTGGGTAAGTGAGCATGGTTTTACGCCACTATTAGCAATATTCCAGCAAATTTCACGGTAGGGGACACCAGAAAAGGGCTTCACACATTGTACTCATGTGGGTAGACTTGCATAAGTCTCTAAGGTAATAAGAAATAGTCTAAATGATAATTTCTATAAAACATAAATATTCCTCTAACGGACTGGTACTGTCCACTTATCTAGACTTGCCTCTTTAAAGGATAGAATTACTATACACCAATGGGCTTAGCATTCAGTACAACCTTGGAGCAAGGCTACCATGCTGGGAATCAAACCCGGGTCTTCATTGATAAATAGCGCTTTAACCACTAGGCTACCCCACTGCCCCCAGTGCTGATGTGTGCTCAGGTTATCAGTTCTTTGTTTGTCTGACTTTAATTCACAGATATAGATGAGGTGTGGTGGGGTAGCCTAGTGGTTAAAATGTTCGCTTATCATGCCGAAGACCCGGGTTCGATTCCCCACTTTGGTACAAAGTGTGAAGCCCATTTCTGGTGTCCCCTGCTGTGATATTGCTGGAATATTGCTAAAAGCGGCGTAAAACCACAAACTCACTACAGAGATAGATGAATAAACTCAATAACAATAATAATATTTTATATCAGTCAGATACATCATTTGATCACGTAAAAAGACTAGAGTAAATATTCTGTGTATGTACATGCATACCTGAATATCATTAACCATTTTTACAGCAGCAGAGTTGATAAAATATGCATTTTAAAAGGATCACAGTCATTCCCTGGATTTGAAACGCTATATCATTTAAAACCGTTCACTTATTCACAGCTCTGGAAACATCAGGCTTTCTCTAGTGTAACGTTCATTTTCTTGTATGTGGCTGCATCTCTTGACCTCCATTCATGCACTGTGTTATAAAGGTCCATCACTTGCTGATCCAACCTCGGACACTGGGCCATATCAGCAAGTTCATCATTGTACGCCCACTGCCTCGGGCCCATGTGGTGTGCATACCGAGGGAGCAGTCCTTGAGAGAGGCGATGTTGATAGTCCTTCTCTATGTCTAAGTCCATGTCATTCCGTGACGGCAACTTCAAGGATCCATCCAATGCTGATAGAGCGACAAGAACTTGAAAATGGAACTGAGGGAAGGGGCAGACAACTTTGCAAATTCCTATAAAAGACAGTGTTGGGAATTCTGTATGGAGTATATGCTTGTAAAGGGGGGTAACTCTTTCATTTTCTATCTTGAGATTGCAAGATTCAGACAGAAATGGGAAAGTGTATTTGTATCCAGTGCAGAAAACAACAGAGTCAATCTTTTGTTCATCCTCGTTGGAGAAGATAACTGAATCTTCCGTGAAGCGGGCTATCCCGGGCTTCTGTTCTACGTTGGGGGGTAATTTGGATGTAAGGGGGGCCTTGTTGTGACTGATGAACACCTGAAACAGAAGGGTTGCATTAAACATGTCCACTCTCATTTCTAATGATTTACATTGTGGATTCTTCCCAATTCAATGTCTAAGTCATCATAATAGATTTATAAATAAATAAATTTGTAACGATAAAATTCATTTACCTTCAAATATATATAAAACTAGGGTAAATTATTTGGGAATGACAAGTCAGAAAGTTCACTGCTATCATTTTGTGCAGAATGTCATTACTGAAAATATTTAACTGACTCAGTATATAAACCATTTATTTATTAATATTCCTGCAGAAGGAAAGATTCCTTACAGTAATAAACGCTAATTTCCACCCAAAAAACATTTCATTGGGAATTTTACATCATGAAGAGGAAGTTGGTAATTTCATCATGAAAAATCTTAGAATAAATACAAGCCTTCCTCACACACACTCACACCTAGTAATCTGTTTAACCCCAAAAAAAGTCCTAACTAATTAATTCCTACAAAATAAAGCCTACTCCAATCCTATCATTTCCCCCAACCTGCTAATCATTCTCCTATCCTACCATACAAAAACTAAGGAAAGGAGGAAAACCTCCCGACTGTAGGTTCAGGGTATCTTGAAGAAAGCGACTTTTGAGAGTGTTACAGGCCCTTATATACCCCGTGCGCTAACCTTTAACCCTGGTCATGTAGCTACCTTATCACCCATTGGCCCGCAATGGAGTCAGCCAACCAATCACGGCAGCTCTACCATACCGCACTCTTAATGCGCAACAGAAAACACACCTAGCTACGGCAAACTGTGCACGGCATTGCAGCGCATGCTGCGACTGTCAACCGACCGGGAAAGGATAATTCCAACGGAATTTTACTGCCAAAACGAAGGTAACAAGTGAAATTTTATAAACTACAAGAAACCTCTTTCAGAAATCACTTATTTCTGGTAATTGACATGTCAACTTTCTCTCTAAATTTACATTACGAACCTAATACCTGATAGGATGAAAAATTACACTTCTTAAAAGAAAACCCACTTTCCTACAATACCAAAACCTTCCAACACATACTTCTACAAACAGCTGTTGAGATGAACAATCTATTTTAACTCATACAGCAGACCAGCAGTTCTCTCTTTTCTCTAATAATTAATTAACTTTATACAAACATACCAAAGTTAAAGGTGTCTTTTCACTCCCTGAATAGGTGAGGTGAGGTGAAACTGGGTTTTACGTCGTGCTTGAGAATATTTGGCTCATATGACGACGGGCATGCATGTGTATGTGTATGTGCGGCTGCTTGTGCTAGCCCAGACTGAAGCTGGTTTTATAGTGCTAGCCCACTGAGATACCATGCCGCAGTGAAGCATGAATACCCCACTCAGACACATTATACTGACTCCGAGCCGACCAGTCCTTGTTGTACCCATTAATGCCGAGCACCAGGCAGAGACCAACAAGTACCATATTTTAACGTCTTTTGGTATGACGCTGTCGGGGATCGAACCCGCGACCTTCCGATCTCCTGGCGGATGCTCTAACCACTACACCACGGAGGCGATCCTCCTTGTATAGAGTTCTGACATGAGATGCAGAGTTGAACTTACTGTCTGAGCCATGGTGCTTAGCTCCACCATGATGTCCATGCCAGACGACTGAGCACCAAGACAAACCACACGCTGCTGCTTGAAGGAATCAGGCTCCCGATAGTCGTGGCTGTGGAACACACGACCCTTGAACTTGTCCAGACCCGGAATGTCTGGCACCAAGGGGATGGAATAATGCCTGGAGCATATTAATCATGAATTTCACTACATTTCAAATTTACACACTCTGCAACTTTTCATTAAATTGTTTTTTTGGTCTGCATACTCGCCACTTTGATTATTTTCCATGTTACCCAAACCAAACTTGAGGTTATTTCCTTGCCTATACAATCAATAAAACAAGAAAGAATTAGTGTGGCACAAACAAATTTTGGAAAGAAATTATTAACACCAGTTACATAATGACATGACAATTTGAGTGTGATGAAAGCCTGAAATGACACAAGCCTAAGGTGTTTACGACCTTCTTGAAACAGCTGAAAACAGATAAGATGCAGACAAACCTAGAAAGAGACTTTGGGATTCAAACCCAACATCATAGGTTTCTGTCACAAGGGATGTAACTATGGGTGCCGTTATACAAAACAACCTTAGAGCTAAGGCTACCTTAAGTCTATGTTAAGGTATGGGAGTTACGGTCACCTTAGAGCTAAGATCGCTTTGTACAACGGCACCCTGCACTGTAAATTTGCTCCCCTCCTCCACCACCCCTTACATATGAGTGAGTGAGTGATAGAGTTGAACTTAAAGTTACATCGGCAGTATTTCAGCCATATCAAGACTATGAGCGCTGTTTTTTTTAAATAAACTTAGACAATATAAATATCTGTCAACAAGGGACAGTAAATATCTAGATTATCTTCAAACTAGTATGTAGTCATAAAACAATATTTCTACAGAACAACACGATATAAAAATGGGCTTTTAATTGCCAACAACTGAAGGTACTTAACATATGAAAAGTAGTAACGGGAAAATACTGTTCCTAGTAAATATTCATTGTCTGACTGTTTGCATTCTTAGGATACAAAATCAGTTACATTTCTGTTTTCTGCCCAATTCAATGGATCAGGATCCAGTGACTACAATGGTACATCTCAACTTTTCAGCCTAGCAGAAGGGGTGTCGGGGTAGCCTAGTGGTTAAAGCGCCTGCTCATCACACTGAAGACCCGAGTGCGATTCCCCACATGGGTACAATGTTGGAAGCCCATTTCTGGTGTCCCCCACCGTGATATTGCTGGAATATTGCCAAAAGTGGTGTAAAACCATACGCACTCACTCAGCCAAGCAGATACTGCCGTTGATGTAAACACAGCTGGAGGTTTATCCAGTAAATCAACCACACGGGCTACAAGTACATTCAGACAAGTCTAGACAGGACAGAGAATTTTAAAGGGTCATGCTGAACATTATTTCATGCAAACTGCGACATTTGACTGTGCCTTAAATACAAATGAATGAGCAGCAAAGGTACATCTTTGGGATACACAAGTAATAAGTTTTACTATATTTCAATTTTATTTAGTAATTGTCCTGTCAACTATTAAAGGGACCAGAATATTCATGGGTTCATTCAGTATACAGATGTTCAGGTAACTGGTTCAATTCCCGAGGTGTGAAGTCCTTTTGGTGTCCGTTGTTAAGTAATATGAAAGGAATGTTTGTGAAATGCTTCCATTACAGCCTTACTACCTCACTCACTCACTACAAACAATACAGGAGCATGCCCTTTGAGGGCTGTCTTTTTCACTCTAAATCACACCTGAATCCTGAATACTGCTAAACACAAATGTCAAAAGTATCGGTCACACTTCACTCCAAACCGGCAGAACAAAGACCATAAGAATACCTTTCTTGGTCATATAAGGGTCAGATATGAATCTAAATCAATAAAAAAATATGTTTAAAAGAAAAGACATATGTAGGACATTATTATTTACACTGTGGTATATTTGCGATAAAGACCTAGGGGAGGTAACTCTCTTTCAAGTGTGAAGCACATCACGTGCATAAACCTCAAGTGAGACCAAGTGTGTGAGTTTGAAAACAGTCAGCCATCTTAACCCTACACAGATTGGCATACTGTAACGAAAACCCGAATAAATATATCAACACATTTACGACTTGTGATACGACACATACAACATGCTCCATACCTTTTGTTTAAATGGTAACCAAGTATGGCTCTATCGCACTGCTTGCTACCACTGTCCCTCTAAACAAACTTACTTATATACCACTTAACAGCATCATACAGAACCAACAATCAAATCACGTCCTTTACACTCCAGCTGTTAGCAACTCATTCCGATGTACAGATTCCTTATTTAGCTCTATCAAATGTATGGGCGGCCATTCAATCCAAAAGTACAATAGCTGAAGTAAGTGTCAAAAGTACTCAATAATAGTCACATTTTACACATAAACAATGAACTGTTAGTAATAAAAGGTAATGATACAAAAGACAGAGACACAATATGGAAGTAAGTGGGTGAGTGAGTTAGTAGCGTTTTATGCTGCTTTTAGCAATATTCCAGCATTATCACGGCAGGGGACACCAGAAATGGGCTTCACACATTGCAATCAAACCCCGGTCTTCAGCTTGATGAGCGGACACTTTAACCTTTAGACTACCCCACTGCCCTCCATATGAAAGAAAGTACAATGAGGACTTAAGACCATCAGTGCATACAAATGATACCAAATGTTAAAGGACAACATTGACAACAAAGAAGGCAGAGCGTGCTGCAATTTGTACAACATTCTAATATTAATCAGTATCTACCAAATACCTTGTTCCCAACATTTGGCCATTATTGCCTACTTTTGTTCTTTACTTCAACTTTGGATGTTTTACCTAATGGCCGCCCAGTCATGGATCTAGATGCCATTCCATCAAGTACCACATGGTATACCTACCCATTGCACACAATGACGGCATCAAACAATTCTGTCTGTTTCTTTGTTTGATTGAGAACATTGCAAAACTGCACTTCCCATTGTGGTTCTGAGTTGTTACCCTTCAGAGGACGTACACAGTCTACTCTGGTCTGAAACTGCAAATGGAAAGGAAAAATGTCAGTGTTGGAATATTTATTTTGCTTCATAAACAAAGCAATTACACTCAACACGTCTACGATCTTCAGGACTTAAATCAGCTTGGTTGTTTCTGTGTCCACTGTTCATCATGGTTGTATGTTGGTGATTTCATAATGTTAAGGGGCATGAGTGGCTCAGTCATCAGATATTGAGTTGCTGTTGATGATTGCTGGTTCAAATCCGAATTTTGATCCATGGTTTGTCTGTACCAAATCCTTGCTAATAGGTTTCAGACAGCAGGTAAATATGTACACTGTTTGTCACTTCCTCACACAATCAGCTCAATGTCATAACAAAAACATCTGTTCTCATCAGCAGGAACCAGAACTCTGTCACAGAACAATGTTTTGTGACTCTGGTGATAAACATTTACATGAGAATGAGAGAACAGTGAGGAATTTCCAAACCTAAAAATGCTTTAGATTGATGCAAATATGTGTGGAGGAAAATAATGGTCCGTTTTTAAAACTGTACTGAAATTTACTGCCTGATGTACTACAGTGAACAAATGTACTGATTTATCATTACATCGCTATATTTTCAGATGTTTGTTGTTTAATGCCACACTCGGCAATATTCCAGCTATATGGTGGCGGTCTGTAAATAATCGAGTCTGGACCAGACAATTCAGTTGTCAACAGCATGAGCATTGATCTATGCAACTGTGATATGATGACATGTGTTAACCAAGTCATTGAGCCTGACCACCCGATCCTGTTAGTCAATTCTTACAACAAGCATGGGTTGCTGAAGACCAATTCTCACCCGGATCGTGACGGATATTCAGAAGTAAAGGACCACAGGCCAATGGTGGGTACGTTTTCAGAATTTGCATCAAGTTACCCATGACGATTTGTACACGTCTTGAATATGTAGTGGAGTGTGCATTAGGTTAAGGAAAAAAAAGAATTCTAGCATAAGAAATTTACACAACATTGATTTCTTTAATATGTTCACTTTTAGTTAAAATAAATAAAATATTAAAATGGTAACAGATATCAGAAGTAAAACTGAAATTTTATTTTTTGACAAGTAGAGAGATAGTAGTGAGTTTAGTTTTATGCCGCTTTTAGCAATATTCCAGCAATATCACGTCAGGGGACACCAGAAATGGGCTTCACACATTGTACCAATGTGGGGAATCGAAGCCGGGTCCTCCGCGTGATGAGCAAACACATTAACCACTAGGCTTCCCTACTGACCGAATATTAATAGTAAACCTAAGCCTGATGTGTTGTTTCGGATAACTGTACCTTGATTTTGTCAGTGACATTGAAGTGGTCGCTGTAGTCTTGTAAATACTGCAGGACATCATGATGCCATATGAAAGATGGTAAACTATCCTTGAAAGGAAAGTCAGGAAATGCCATTACTTCTTTTGGCAGATTTGTCCTGAAACAAGAACATTTCACAACATTAAATTTAGTACAAGTAGTAACCTTCACCTTCATAACTTGCCAAGACAGCAGTGTGAAGGTTGTTGGAGAAAAGGGATTTGTTGAAGATCAGGGTGCCGTTGTACAAACAACCTTAGTGCTAAGACTGTCGTAAGTCTATGCTTAGGAGTGGGAGCTACAGTCACCTAGCATTATGGTCGCTTTGTACAATGGCACCCTGGGCACACAATTAAGAGATTATATACTGAGAGAAACAGATAAACGATCACAGGAAAATGCAAGCGTCCCTTTAATATTTTCCAGTTTTCATCACCAGCTTTGAATAAAAAATAATATTAAAGGAACGCTTGAATTTCCTGCGATCCTTTATTTGTTTCTCTCAGTATATATATAAACATTTGTTTTCAGGTGTACTTGATCCAAATGTGAAACCTGATATTTATTGACACTATATAATAAAAAATATCAGTAGTTTTCCATTGTACACTCTTTGTCGGACAGATGTGCAACATTTGAAATATATCTGGTTTGTTAATTTGTTTGTGGTTTATTGCCACAACTCATGCTGATAGCCTCTATAAGACAAACACATACGGGACAAGACAAGTCAGTGATTAATATCAATATCAATGATCCACATCAAGGGAGTACGATGACATACAATTAACAAAATCACTGATCCTGACAATTATCAAGCATTAAAAATCTAAGTCGCCTCTAACAAGCAGGAAAGGTTCCTGGGCACTTAAATTATTCTTACCCATATCCCCACTCAGTGGAATGCTACAGCATTATATATATAAATGTCCAAATACCAGTACAATGGATGATGCATGTGCTTAGTGGTATATTAGTACAACTCACATGCTTCATAGAATGAGCACATAAATACAACACAATTGAAGTTGTTCAGATAAATGTTGATAAATTTCGATATTATAAATGCAGGTTTTATTCCATTTTACTTTTGTCTTTTTTTTTGTAATTCTTAAAATTGATATATTACATATATATCACTATCAGAATGTTTCTCTAAGTCTTCTGCACACACCTGAGGTTTTTGTACATGCTGGAGTGTACCGGAAGTCCGTATTCATCAGTTCCAACTCTGTCTGTGTACACCCATGTACCTCCAACTAGCGGACACTGTTCAAAACAGACCCCCTCAAAAACGTCCGGCCTGGCCAACAGGTGCCGCATGGCGCACAGCCCACCTGCACCCGCGCCGATCACGGCCACTCGTATCGGCATATTTCTGTGTAGAAACAAGGAACTACAGCGTCTTTGGTAGAACTCGACAAACCTAAGACACGTGAAAACAGTAGGACAGATCTTACGAAACATCGGTCAGGTCATCGTCTGCAGGTGCACGTTATAGTACTTTTCTACAGACCTTTCGGGTAATCGCGTGGCAGTCGTTAAGCGAACAGCATTACGAGTCGATGAGGTTGCGCCATGACTTACGTTTAAAATAAGGCTTTGTGGCTTTCTGTTATATATGCGATCTTTAGATGAAAGCAAGAGCTGTGGAATCGCTAGGCTCAAGCTGTGTATGTATCGGAAGTAATAAAAAGCATCGCATGGCTGCACACAAACCTACATGATTATATTCAAATCACGTACCTTCGTGCTAATGACACAACCTGCATTAATTAAGTGGATGTTACCAACAACTTTGACATGGAAACGTATTCACATCAGCTTGCAACTAGGGCACAGTTGAGTGCTATACAAATATAATATATATATGACATAATACGGGCATTCTTTAACTTCTTTTGAGCAGTATATCATATATCGTCCCTAGTGGGAGGACATCTCACCAGTTAGATCATATACTAGTAACTGATCTTTAAAAGCAAAAACATGGCCAGTACCCTACTCCCATGTCAGAAATGGGAAGAATTGTTTTGTTCCTGAAATTGGCTTCATATGGTCTGCACCCATGGGGAATCGAACCCGGGTAAGCGGCGTGACTAGCGGACACTATGTAGCCACTGACAGAAGGCCGTGTCAACAGCTAGCAACAATCATAGTTTGACAAGACACTTGATCTGCCAAGAACCACTAGGCTACAACATGCCTGTCTATGATGTCCTACTTACTTGCTTGTCTTCAGCGAAATACCACAGGGTTAACTTCAATCAAAATATCCGCCAGGTCTTGACTGTTTGCTGTGTCATAGAACCGAGTCTGTGGTGGCAACTTTCATACGTTATCTTATCTCCACCACGCGTGATCTTGCAGCTGGGAGAGCTATTACAATACAGAGGACACGTAGCCCCGACATCACACGGTATATAAACCTTACTATACATCGACCTCCGCCACACTGCAGAAGACCGTGGACGTTGTCATACCCTCAAGGAACCGTTCATAATGTATGGCCAGGAGGGTGATGATTTTGATGTAGAAGCATGTACAATGTGACTGACACCCACCCCCCAACCCACTAAAATGTATGTACAAAGTAAGTGACCCCCCTGCGTGTCATGTACAAAATCAATGATCCCCCTCCCCTTTCCAATATTTTTAAGCATAATTGTAATATCTTTTTATGTACAAAATTGCTGACACCCCCTAGAAACATATGTACAAATTGATGACCCCCCTACCTCCCCAAAACAAAATGGGTGACGCCCCCTTAAAATCATCATCTCTCTCACACACACACACACACACACACACACACACACACACACACACACACTAACCAGCCATAAATTTTGAACGGTCCCTAAGTCTGATTGTTTCTTGTTTACCAACATAGCAAACGTTATGCAGGGCTGTTTCGACGTAAATTGTAATACGCAAATTGTGATAAAAACTGACGTAAATTGTAATAATTTTAGTTGCGGTAAAATGTAATAAATATTTACGTAAATTGTAATAACAGTTTTAACCACTGGTAAATACGCGTGTGTTTGTTTTACGTTGCATTTCATACATCATATAAGCTTGTTAGGGCGATAACTCAAGAAAGAAATGATGGATTTTCTTCAAATTTGGTACCAAGGTATATTGGCGCGATTCACCGACACAAGTGAAATTGTGTGACCTTGAGATAATTTGCAAGGTCACAGCAAAACTCTGAGGGTTTTGACAATACAAAGATTGTTAGCTCGACAACCCAAGAAAGAAGTGACAAATCTTAGCTAAATGACGAAAACGATATTCGTCCTGATATACAATCGATATAAAATCTCTAACTGTCCTCTGTATCATGTCTTTTCGCAAATATCTGTTGAGTTTTGATATGTATACATATAAAGTGGGGATGGGATGGGGGTGGGTTTCTAACGGGTATATCTAACACACTTACATGCATGTAGAGTCGGAGGGGTGGGTGGGTGTTCCAACGGGTATATCTACGAGGGACGTTCAAAAAGTAGTCAGCCTCACCTACAATATGATACAAATGCAGCTGTTTTTATGCTTTATTGATTTGAAATCAGATTTTTCAACTGAAGTTTTATGGTCTTTTAGCCTTATGTTGAACGGCCGGCACGTTTCTCCAATATAACTGCTTCCACAAACACAACAAATTTTGTAGATGCATCCTCTGGGATTGGGTTCGGTCTGGCTGCTGCCACCTCTTCCATTCGCTCTCAGGATTGATTTCAAAGTTTTAGCAGAATAAAATGTCACATCAACACTGGCAGTTTTTCTAAGAAGTCGGCTGATGTGATGACTAATCTGGCCTTTGTAGGGAATGTTGATCCGGATGGGAGCTGGTTCGGGTTTGGGTGGATGGTCATTTTGTTGATGGAGGATTGTGGCTACGGTCTGCCCTACAAGTTGTTTGTGATATCCGTTGAGGGTGATGAAGGTTGTTTTGAGGTGGTCGATCTCATCTTGGAGTTGGGCTGGGTCGCAGATAGCCTTGGCGCGTCTGGTTAGGGTTGAAACTATGGCTTGTTTTATTTGTGGATGGTGGTTGGATAGATAATGAATATACTGGTCAGTGTGTGTTGGTTTTCTGTAGACAGAGGGAGTGATCTTGGATGAATTGTCAAGGGATACATCAAGGAAGGGCAGCTTGTGTTGATCCTCAATTTCCATGGTGAACTGGATGTGGCTGTGCTGTTTGTTGAGGTGATCTAGGAGGACTGCAGGGTCGTGGGCAGGATCAAAGATGGCGAAAGTGTCATCCACTTCCTGTACCAGCATAGTGGCTTTATAGGACTCTGCTTTTAGCAGAAATTTCTTATGAATGTGGAAAGGGTTTTGCCGCTTTTATTTATAAGCGAATAACCAGGTTGAAATTGTGTTCGTGTAGGGAAACGATATTGATGGTAGTTCCTAAAATTCGAAATATTTTGGGAAACTGACATTTGTCTCAGAATGTTGCTTAAATTTAGTGCATCAGTTCCCTTTTTTTTGCAAATTTCAGATTCAGGAACATGCGGTCTTTGTCTGATTCAGCTGTTTCTATTTCTGTTTCACCAAACGTCTTTAGGCAATATAAAGAACTATACTCTCTAGCTCATACTGTGGCTTTCGCTGTCTGTAGACCCCCCCATCAGCAAAAGTTGTAGAATTGTTATGGATGTGAAAAAAGGTTTCTGTCGCTTCTATTCCATCGATATAACAGCTGCCACAAAGATATGAGAACAAAAAACCGAACACAGTTGGCTGCTTGTATTTAGAGGATAATTTCATTTCTTTCAATGACCGAGATCGAGAGTATAGTCTTGTTCTCACTTCGTGCAGTCCCAGTGGTTCCTGCAGCAGAGGCAATAACTCTTCCAAGTGAATGGTACCATTAGCATTTGTCCGTTCTTGTGACCATGGCTGCCTTGACGCCTTTGAGAAGCTGGAAACAGACTCAATACATTGACATTGGTGCAGTTCTTCTGTTGGAAAGACTGCCAACGTTTTTTATTTTGTCATTACATCCATATGGCATTGTATCACAAGAGTCGAATGCAATGATTTTCTCTTGACATTCTGTAAGGTCGACTATTAAAGCTATTAGAATGGTGATATATTTTTCTAATATCCTATTTTTTTATACACAGGATGGCGTGACTTTCAGAATTAAAATGTTGGTAGACGCAATTGGAAACATTTCCACTGAACCGGATCTATGCTGGTTGCCTCATGTCTATTGTTTCTGTTGTGTCTCTCCAACACAGGTCAATCCACAAAGAGTACATTCAATAAAATATATGGGGTTATTTTGTATGACATTATAGGTCTTCAAATGATTTTGTGCAGTATGTTTTAGCTGCAAAGTTGGATTTGAATTCAGGATCCGTTATCAACAAGGACAGGTTTCGATGGCGACGAATTTGATTTTGATGTTATTGTGGATCAGAACGTTTCCAAAAATGCCCTAAACATGTCGAAGAAGAACCCTAAACAGAAAAGTGTTTCTACAACTCTAGAACTGCTGTGCTGGCAGACATGAGGCAACTATGACAAAATGACGTCAAACCGCCTTGTCAGCGATTCAACGACACAAGGGGAAAAGTTATTGCCTCGTCTATGAAAAAGCTGCAGCCTTCCGCCTCGGGAGGATTTTCCAATCTGAGACGCTGCTTTGAACACGTGAGATCAGATTCACAAACGCCGATGAATTATTGTCTCAACTTGACACAGAGACTAATGAGACTACTACAGTGGGCGCTGTATGCCTGAGTGTTGGCAATATATATTTTAAATCGATTTAAGAAAATACACAATATCCAGCCGTGCACGTTGAGGTTTAATTGATGTATTGAACTGAAGAAACCAGGATCCTGGGGTGGAAACCCGTGGGGGCAAACCCTCCGAAAAATTTATATTTAGACTGAAGGTTTCATGAAGCTGGCAATATTCTGTTATGTAAATCGATTTAAGAAAAGAGTGACAAATTTATTCTGTAATATAGGTCATCGGACCACAATAAAGGAATATTTAATCGGTATTATCCTACATATATAGGAGTCGATCTCATGTCAATATTTTCTCTTTTGTCATTGCAAAGTCTTCAGCAAAACATGATCCAGTAGCATGTATAAAAAGTCCGTCAGTTTAATTCTTGAGGTAGATACATTTTTCAGATATTACACTGGATGTTTCATGGTTCGTCACACGTCTTCCGAGCAGGTGCCCGTAGTGTGCCATTTGCAGTTATAAAACGCTTTGAAGAGTATCAACATACTTATATACACATTATAATGCGTATAAAAATGTATTCACATATTTCCTTAACAATTATCTCTCCACATGGAAGTTATCGTTTCCAACACGAACATATTTTTCTTTCTTGTATCCAACCAAATTCTGTATCCTGGTTCTGTGTACGTAATCATAGATGATTTTCACGTTGGGTGGAATTGGATCTTGGAATCCGCCTAGCTGTACCAGCTGGGCATTGTATTCCCATTGGTGAGGACCCATCTCGTGCGCGTGTCTCCTTGGCAACCCACGTGCTATGCGATCAGCAAGATCATTGGCTTCATCCGCCTCCATCTCCTCTTTTGATGGCAGTTGAACAGTTCCGCCAAGAATGGATATCGCGGTACTTGTCTGGACGTGGAATTGTGGGAAAGGACATATAGTTTTACACAATCCAATCAAAAACAAAGATGGAAACTTGGAATGAACTAAATGTTTGTAAAGGGGAGTAACACGTTGGTCTTCGTCGACCTTGACCCCTATTTTGGGGTCAAGGAAAGGGAAGGTATACTCGTAACCGGTGCAGAAGAGAAGAGTGTCGATCTTAGCTTCCTGGTCGTTATCGAAAACCACTGATCTTTCCTTTAAACGCTTTATTCCAGGAACTAAATGAACGTTTTCCGGCAACGGACATTGTAGTGGGTCCTTTCTGCTGCTTAGGAACACCTGTAAAAGCAATTTGAGCCAAGTTGCTTTCAGAGAGGATGTGGATGCTTAGCTTTGCATTGAGAACATAAATTACAAAGCTTATGTAAGCTTATACATAAGAAGGTAATAACCTTCTCCGCCATTACCAATAAATTGACCGCCTCCGTGGTTAGAGCGTCCGCCCGGAGAGCGGAAGGTCGTGGGTTCGATCCCCGACCGCGTCATACCAAAAGACGTTAAAATATGGTACCTGTCTGGCGCTCGGCATTAATGGGTACAACAAGGACTGGTCGGCTCGGAGTCAGTATAATGTGTCTGAGTGGGGTATTCATGCTTCACTGCGGCATGGTATCTCAGTGGCCTAGCACTATAAAACCAGCTTCAGTGTGGGCTAGTACAAGCAGCCGCACATACACATACACACGCATGCACGTCGTCATATGAGCGAAATATTCTCAAGCACGACGTTAAACCCAATTTCACCTCACCTCACCTCACCTCACCAATAAATTCATACATAAACCAGCGTAAGATGGAAATTTGTAATCACTTCGGATAATGACAAACTTTATGGATGCACAACTTCTTTTTTTCAGGTGATGCGACGTTTGATACAGATCCTTGTATCGTTTTCAAGAAATGATAGTATCCCTACGATACAAAAATCTGTATCGAAACGTCGCATCGGCTGAATAAAGAAGTTGTTCATCCATAAAGTTTGTCATTATCTGACTCTCCAACTTCTAGAAACTGTCACTGAGAGAAGTTATAATTACAAAATGGCGTCTCCAGCGAATTTAGATGATGTGACACTATTTCTGAGACATTCCATTCACATTTCAGCTTCGTGAACCATGTAATATTCAAAATTTAAAACTCCCATTTTCTCACAACATTCATCAGTCACATGATTAGCAGATCCAACTTAATTATGCATTAGCTGCATATGGGTACCACGTTCCACAAAGACCTCATATACCTCTTTGGCCTCTGAGCTGACGTCGATGGCGATATCCTGCCCCGAGGCTCCCGCTCCCAGGAGAACCACCCTCTTCCCCCTGAACGCTGACGGGATCCTGTAGTTGTGGCTATGAAGAACCTCCCCCTCGAACACATCCAGCCCTGGGGTGTCGGGTATCAGCGGTGTGGAATAGTGCCTTATAATACACAACGTCAAATATATTTGTTATTCGTCAGAAATGTCACTTTGCTTTCCTTTCACATAATCTTATTCCAAAGTTATCACTACCCAAAGTAGTATCATTTAATTATAAGTTCATGTCATTGAAACCACCACAGTTTCTGTTTTGTTGTTGTTGTTTTTCTGGCCTAGTGAACCACGACAAGCTAATATCTACCTACCTACCTACATCTATCTATCTATCTATCAACACGTACCCATTGCAGACGATAACAGATTCAAACTCTTCTGTCGTCTGCTTCTCCCTATCGTCTGCTGCAGAATACGCCACCTTCCATTTGACGGCCGGAGTGTTTGGTTCACACACTGGTGAGACATGTTCAACCACCGTCTTGAACTAAAATACACATAGTACAGAATAGTCAAAGCATTTATACTTCATCATTTCATACAAAAACATTTAATACAAAAACAGTAATTAATAGTAAAGCATCCGTGTAGTTTTAGATTTTCATTCAACAATGCCTCAACAACCTGTCTCATATTGTATTATCTCCGAGAACTTAGAGACGAAACAAAATCGCAGTTTTTCTTTGTTTCTTTACTAGAGTGAGTGAGTGAGTTTAGTTTTACGCCGCACTCAGCAAAATTCCAGCTATATGGCAGCGGTCGTAAATAATCGAGTCTGGACCAGACAATCCAGCGATCAACAGCATGAGCATTGATCTACGCAACTGGGATACGATGACATGTGTCAACCAAGTCAGCGAGCCTGACCACCGATCCCCTTAGTCTCCTCTTATACAAGCATGGGTTACTGAAGATCAATTCTAAGCCTGATCTTCACTGGTATCTTTTTCACATAAAGATCCCGTTCTAAAGTACACCATAAAGAAGGTCCTGAAACAATATTCACCCTACAGTTAATGAACAAAGATGTCCGGCATGGTTCAGGAACCACGGGGCCTGATTCACGGAGCGTTCGTAGCACTTCGATATTCGTAAGCCTATAATAAAGCAGATAGTTACGATACGATTCTATGGCCTATTGGAGTGTTAATCTAGTGTTATAAGTGATTAATATGGTTTAACATCGCTTTGAACAACATTCCGGGTATACCATGGCGTGTTACAAGCGTGACATGGGGTTACAGCTTTAGTGTGAGTATGGTTTTACACCGCTCTTAACAATATCACGGTATCGGACACCAGAAATGGGCTTCACACATTACCCATGTGGGGAATCGAACCTGGGTCTTCAGTTTGACGAGGCTACTACTTGGCTACCCTATCGCCCAACACAGCTTGAGTGAAACCTGGGAGCAAGAGTATGGTTCTGTCAAGCAGGGACGCATGGCCCTGACGAACCAGGTTCGAATCCACAATTGTAGCACTGTTATACTGACGAACAGTATTAGACAAATCAACGTTAACCAAAATTGGCAGGTAGATGTGATTCTTTAACTACTTATACACATGTACATGAATTCATCGAGAGTACCCAACACCTTTGAAAACCATCGTTACATGTATACCTTAATGAATTTGTGGAGGTCAAAATGTTCTGCGTATCGTCGAAGGTATTCGGCGACATCGGTGTGATGGACGAAAGACGGCAGTCTTGAGTCGAACGGGAAGTCAGGAAATGCCATGATCTCCTTCGGAAGGTTCGTTCTAAAATGGTACGGTCGTATACTTTGCAAAATATTGTAGCTTGTTTTGTTTTTGAAAATAATCATAAGTCACAGATGTATACTTTCTTTTGAACGTCAATATAGCATGTAGAACGCAACGTCATAGAAGTAACGTGACGTCATAACATTGATTATGACGTCACGTCACCATGACACCATGACAAAGAGATATTTTGCCCTAGGGCATTGTATGAAAAATATGAACCCCGATATTTTCCCCCTCGTAGGACAGGTTTGATACACCTAATACAATTTGCACTAAAAACACTAAATTGCAACTCAACAAAATGAGTAAAACACTCCTCTCTAGATTTTTCGACGAAAGACTACACAGACTGTACAACCAGAGTATCCGAAGCAAAATCAAGTTTGTAATGCCACAGCGATTAGCCAGTGGTTGTCTCCCCTAACATCTAAAAATATTAGAGGGGGCGGGCTTATCGGTCCGGGCTGGACCGGACTACTGGGCTAGAGAAGAACTAAACGTGAAACTGCCTCATTTAAATCAGGGATACCCTACAACTTATATAGTCTCCCTGTTCAAATGACTGTGATATGCGTTAACATATATTGATTATGCATTACTCTAAGCTGGGTTAACAGACACACCGAACTAGACTCATACTTGCAGGCCGAGCCCACATGAATATTTCACTGTTTCACTATTCGATGTACTCACCTGAGGTTCTTGTACATGCTAGACTGAATCGGCAGGCCTCGCTCATCTGTTCCGGTTTTATCTGTGTAATTCCATGTTCCACCTACCTCTTCACTAAGCTCGAACCCCACCGGACAGAAACCCCGTGGGTGTGCCTTGAGAAGCCGTAAGGCACACAGGCCCGCAGCCCCAGTTCCTATAACAGCTACCCTCATACTGTCAGTGTACGACCGTCTAACTAATATTCTGTACTAAAAAGACTTGTAAAGTTGTAGAAGAATCCGTGTTGGAAGTAAGGCAGTAGGTAAACAGCTGGGTAACATTTAGGTCGGCACGTACTCCTCCTCAGCGCGTACTCGCTGCGCCATTCATAAAGGAACCACTCAAGTTCGATAACGCTGTCTGGAGTTTGGATGGCAATACATATTTTACCGCAATCACTCACATAGACTAACTTTCAGTCTCTGAATATATATAATTTTGATAGTAACAAACAAACAAACACATATAAATTGAAAAGGGGCCCGGGGAGACCAGAGATTCAGAACCTGAGGAAATCTAGACTTGCTTCATTTAGAGCTTTAGCATTGCAAGGAGGGCTAGGCAGTAGGGAAAATAATGTGGTTCAGGGACTGTGAGACAGACTACCACTCACATTGTTCCCATATGCATGATGTTAACCTACAGGATGTATCCCGGAATCGGAATGGCTCGAGTTGGTCACGGATAGTTTTTGCTGCAGTCACTATGTATGGAATACTAGTATATATCAAATATCTAATAACTATTAATATGTTAATTAAAATAATGATTATTTTATGTCAGTAAAACGAATTCGTGGTATGTCACATCTTTCACTTGAAATGATCCAATGACTAGATTAGGTTACTGGGAGCTTATGACATTAGCGTGATATCACATTTATTATAGCTTATAAAATTGTAAAAAAGTGTGTGTGAACAGAATATCCTCCATTTTCTTTTTATGACGTAACCTAGGTGTGACCTTTGTGTGACCTAATCGATTGTTGAACCCCACCCTCCCCTTTCCGGCCCAGGTGTGTGTGTCACCTTCAGGTTTACCTTAGTGGTCTGTGATTATTATTCAATTATCTTATGAGTGGTATGAGTTTGCCGACTCGAGTGTTCACACGACAAACTAATGCTTAGTCTCTGAATATATATAATTTTGATAGTAACCAACAAGCCCGTTTAAATTGAAAAGGATCCCTAAGGACCCCAGAGATTCAGAACCTGAGGAAATCTAGACTTGTTTTTATTTAGGGTTTTAGCACTGCAGAGAGGGCATGTGGCAGTAGGGAAAATAATGTGGTACAGGGACAGTGAGACAGACTAAGCATACGTACGTGTTCAACGTAGAATTAATATCACACAATGAGGGGGGGAATTTAGCTGCGATTTATAAGGTCAAAATATCACAGCGCATTTTGTTAAATCAAAGTTTAAAATACGCTGTCACACAAGGAACAAGTATTTTACATATCTGTCAACAATAAACGGTTGTAGCTGTTAAAATCCATGTGGGCCTGTATATGCGTGAAATAGAGGGCGCAGTCTAAGCACTTCTGTCAGTACTAACAGCAGAATCGCTTGCTCACTGAGCCGTCACTGAAGAGACATGTGACAGCTGTGATTGGATGAAATAGTGTAAGGTGTTATGTTTGTTAAAAGCACCAGCATCCAGTCATTAAAACTGACCACCATTTTAAGTATTTAATGCTGTCATTTGTATCAATTATGCTTATGCGTGTACAAATTATGTTCAAGTAGGTGACAGTTGGTGCGGACCTGGGAGGGTTGATGTGTTTAGCTTCCTGTGTGTGGCTTCCTGTGCTCGCAAAGTTATCCGGTTCAAGTTGACCAGAAATTGTTTTATTGTAAGTTAAAGGTCAGACTGTAATCATGACGGTACATGCAGAGACCATATACCGGTATATGGTCTCTGGTACATGGCATGGATAATTTTCAATGTGATGTTGAATGTATGCTGACAAGTGGTCAGATTCCGTTATGTAAGGAGACAAGTGTCAGGACAGGAAATAGTAAGCAGTTGAGGACAGATGGTCACTGAATATCTCAAGTAGTTTGGTTGTACGGTGATGAAATGATTTAGCATTTGTCATATATATTACTGAATAAGAAATATGTGTTCTCCTGTAAAACTTTCACTTTTACTCAACATTTTAAAACTTTTACTCTCAAATTGCAAACATGAAAAACACCCATCTTATGTTCATGTTTATGACACTTATTTGACATCATGTGACACATAGGTTACTCACATGCCGTTAGTCGCCTCTTACGACAAGCATGGGTTACTGAAGTGTAGCCCAGACCTTCATGGGTACAATACATTAAGAAACAAGAAAGATATACAGATTTCATTGTTTATTAGCTCCGTTTCAAATGAGTAGGCTTTAGGATAGGAGCTCTCCCAAATGTCTACTTTACATGTTGTGCTAATTGTATTATTGCCCTTCCTCAACGTTCGGCCCTTCACTCTCTACATCAGATATCATGTCTTAATAATCATCATCAATTAAGTCTTCTACCCAAGATTTATATTGGTACAGTTTGGAAAACACGTCATGATACATATTATTTGTGTCTTTTACTCGTTTCAGTATTCCTTGTGTCTTTGGTCCATACTGTATATGGTACAGATAAGTAATAAATCGGGCATACGTCTCTTTAAACGTGCTCCAGATGAATTTCTTCAGTTTGGCTTGAATATGTCTTCGTTTAAACCTCTTTTCATGTACAGCTGTCGTTTCTCATCCAAAAAGTCTTTATTCAGCTCACGCGTCCGTGAATACATTTGTCTTATACCTTGCTCCTAGAGATCAACTATGTTATTTTTCCTGTTGCCATGTGTGACATCGTTTAACGATTCATCATCCTCATCAGTTTCCATTTCAGGACATTGTTTATCGTGTAAATGTCTTTGTAAGTTGTGGTTATTGCTAAACACTTGACCACAATAGTCACAATCTGACAGAGGACGTGGTCTCTTCACAGGAGAGAAGTTGTCGTCTTCCTCCCACTTCCTTTTCACTTGGGGTATTCCAGGTGGACCCTATGAAGACTTTTCAGGACACCAGTTTCTTCTGTGTTTTTGCAAATCATGCACGTCTTGAAACACGAGTCCACAGTCTTTACAAGATGGCATTGTTGGGAGCTTTTCTTCACACGTCTGCTCACTCTGAACGTCTAACTCAGACTGAATTGTCCTAGCTTGGAGGCCTCCTTTTAAACTGAATACGTTGGGACAAAGTCGCAAATGGGGAGGTGTTTGGGGTTTTAGATCAACCAACAAGTATCCATCAGGTTTCCCGGGTGGTCCTTTGAAATGGCTCCATGAAGTGGTCTGTGTTACCTGGAAACATTTGCCTCGCCAAAGTCATGATGGGTTGTTGGTCAATAGGGTTGTTGAACAGAAGCAGATAATGACAGTTTCTTCGTTGTGTGGGATCCTTACTGTAATACAAATTCTGGTTCAAGGATATCACTGAGAGATTACGATGATGACTTCCTTCGGTAAAAAGATCTGTAATGCGTGGATCTTTGCTGGCAGTAGACATTAAGTCATCGAGGATAACCACGTTCACAACACTGGGGTCCAGAAATGCATCCTTTTCGAGATCAGAAGGAATGCCTTGATGAAATTCCACATAGGGATAAACATGGGTTTGAATGGCATTATACAAGGGCTGCCATCGTTTGTAGAGCCATATAATACGTTCAGGGTAAGGTTTAATGTTCATCCTTTCTAGAAGCTGTTTCACTAAGTAGGTTTTCCCACAGGAGGTGGGCCCTGAGACGATCATGGTGAATGGATGTTGCAGCCTTAATTCTTCCAATGACTGGGTAGTACTTTCTGATGAATGTGGTTGCACTGGTTGCTGCTGCTGCTGCTGCTGCTGCTGCTGCTATAGTTGCTGATGCTGATGATGATGTTGCCAAGTGGGCATTAATGAAAGAGGAGATCCATGAGGTGGTGGTGATGCTTGTGGTGATGGTTGTTGAGGAGGAGGAGGAGGAGAGAGTTGTTGATGTGGTTGTGGAGGAGGAGGGAGTTGTTGATGTTTCTGTCTTCTATGTCTCAACATATTGTCTGTCCTGGAAAAAGTCTGATAGCACACGGGACACGTTGTTGACTGCATGGTGGTCCGAGTCTAAATGGCAGGGAACCATGTCTACTGACTGCTTTTATCTAAAAAATCGTCTTCCGTTTCTTCATGGGAATCTGGGAGGAACTTCCAACTTTAGATCCCCCTTTCTTCTGCATCTGAATAAGAGCCTTGGCTTGTTCGACCACTTGTTGAGTAGGGGTAACAAAATTAATCTTAGGTTGTTCTGAGGTTTCTTTTGGTTTATCTTTCTTCCACTCTGGGTCATACAGTTCCAAATATCGATCGACAGACATCATGGCAGATTTTTCTCCTCCACGCATTATAGAATGATAAGGATCTCCTTTCCCTTCAGCCCTGAGCATGTAAAATCGTGTCCATTTTTCGGCATCGGGTACGAAAAGTTTGTTTTGTGGATTATTCATGATGAAAACGGGAGCGGCTTGAGGTGATGCGTCACTGTCACTGGTCCACGGCTAAATGAAGTTAGATAGCCCTTGTGGCCTGTTATATAGATATCTTCATTGACCTTGGGCTTGGTGTAGCTTTCAACATCGCTGCCAGGATGGTCATACATGCTCTTTCCCCGGATTGACAAACCTAAGACGGGTGTACCAGATGTACTAAGCCAATGCTCTATCAAACAACCAGGCATTTTGAATGGCCTCATCTCTAAGTGCATTGACAAACTGTGGTTTCAAAACAAATGCTACGATTGGCATGTTACTGGCAAAAAGACTATTCCACATACTGTCTGTCGTCCAAAGGGGGTGAACTAATCTTCGTAACACAGCTAGGTAGTTATTTCTATCATTTTTCCTCAGGAAACGACGCCTTTCATATCGAGTCACTGGTAACTTTCCCTTTAATAACCTATTGATAATATTGATTGTCGAATCTCCTCAATGTCTTGAAACATTAACATGAACCTTAAAAATTCATAATGTTTCAACACGTACCTAGCCATAATAATTCTAGCAAACAAGCTCTTATCGTGGTTGGGATATCAATGAGATTAGTATTTGAGTAAACCTCTATTTATACATCAACAAAAGACTATACATAGACAACCAATGCATATATATATACTCTTAACATTGATTTATTTCTAATATTCACACATTTTACATCACACTCTTGGTTGCAAATCCACATGACTACCCCAGTGGGCCATATTTTTCTGAGGTACTCCCACCAGGGCCAAATACGGACAGTCTGGAG